AACAACAACAGTTCAAGTTGCCACTGAATCAATGACCTTCTTCTCCCTCTGAAACCCAGCTGAAAGGTCAACTGAATGATACACGTCAATAACAACATATACATAATAACATTACATGTAAGGATAATATTTGTTATAATGTATTGTATAGATTATTGTTGTTACTATGTACCTTTGAGTACATGAACCTGACCTACAGTGGACCCACCAGTGGATTTTCAGAGGTGCTAATTGTACGGGAAGAGATTGCCCGTCTTTCTACCCTAGAGAGGCTGGTGGATTTGAACCCTGAGTCTTTGAGATTGCAGGGTGCATTCTTTTCTCTAGGTCACTAGAGCTCCCTTTGTATATATTATGTTGTTGTTGGAACCAACCCATAACTGACCCCTCCAGCAGGTTTTCAGAGGCAGGAGGAAAAAAGGAGATTGTCCATCTTTCTCCCCAGTGGAGCAAGCAGCTAGTGGATTTGAACTCCCTGCCTTTGGGACTGCAGTACAGCTTCTTACAACTCAGTCACTAGAGCTCTTCCAGATGTAAATATGTTTGTTTTTTAAAAATTAAAAAAAAAATTTAACGTACACTCGTTTATTTTGGCTTTGTTCACAATAGCAAAGAGTTGGAAACAACCCAAGTGCCCATCAACAAATGAATAGAGAAGCTGTAGTCTATTCACACAATGGAATACCATGCTGCATTGAAAAACGAGAAACTCATGCAATATTATTCAAAATGGGTGACCCTGGAGGACATTATGCTGAGTGAAATATCTCAGTCACAAAAGGACAAATAGTGCATAGTGTCACTGTTGTAAAACAGGACTGACCTCGGGGTTGGGGGGACTGAGAAAAACTGGATAAATTATGTAGACTGCATTGAAACAGATGTGGGAGAAAACTGTTTAAAAGGGATATATGATTATGTGTTACTGTCATGACAGGAGTCCAGAGTGAAGGCTGCATAGTGGAGTGGACTTGGGGGGATGGATTGTGTAACAATGAAAGAGTTTTTCTTTTACTTTTCAAAGAAAAGAGAAAATGGGTATGGGGGGAAGTTGGGCAGGGAGAAAAGCGCAACAATGAATGAATGGAAATTCAAAATCTCTGTAAATTTTCATTTATAAAATTAATAATAATAATTTTTTAAAAAAGAAAATGGATACATGATTGGGTATTATTGTCATGACAGGAGTCCAGAATGAAGGACGCACAGTTGGAGTGGACCTTGGAGGAGGAATTGTATAACAATGAAAGAATTTTTTACTTTTCAAAGAGAAGAGCAAACTGGGGTTGGGGAAAGCTTGGGCAGGGAGAAAAGTCCAACAATGAATGAACTGAAATCCAAAATCTCTGTAAATTTTCATTAAAATTAATAATAATTAAATTTTTTTTTAAAAAAAAGAAAAGGGATATGTGATTAGGTATTATTGTCATGACAGGAGTACAAAATGAAGGCTGCATAGTGGAGTGGACTTGGAGGGAGGGATGGTATAACAATGAAATAATTTTTCTTTTTCTTTTCAAAGAGAAGAGCGAACTGGGGCGGGGAAGGTTGGGCAGGGAGAAAAGTGCAACAATGAATGAATTGAAATTTTAAAACATCTCTAAATTTTCATTAAAATTAATAATAATAACAACATTTAAAAAATAAAATAAAAGAGATAGGTGATTAGGTATTATTGTCATGACAGGAGTCCAGAATGAAGGCTACACAGTGGAGTGGACCTGGAGGGAGGGATTGTATAACAATGAAAGAATTTTTCTTTTACTTTTCAAAGAAAAGAGCAAACTTGGGTGGGGGGAAGCTTGGGCAGCGAGAAAAGCACAACAGTGAGTGAATGGTAATGCAAAGTCTCTGTAAATTTTCATTAAAATTAATTTAAAAAAATAATCAAGAAATGCCTTCCCTAAATAGATTGAATACAATCAGTTGCTTTCTAGTTAATCTTGGCTCAAGCCTGCCCCATGTGGTAGCAGCATGGAAGTGCACCCCACAGGGCTCCCTGTGGCCAGGCATTTCTTCCGCGTGTCTCTGCCTGGACATTGACAGACGCTCCCCCAACCCCACGATGGTGCAGTCCAGACTGGAAGTGGCACCACCTCTCTGCCGGTTCAAATCCACCAGCCGCTCAGCGGGAGAAGAATGGGCAGTCTCCTCCCCTGCGATCCACAGCCTCAGAAATTCACTATTTTTAGGGGAGCTCTGGTGGCCTAGTGGCAAGAAGCTGCACTGCAATCCCAGAGGTGTGTGGTTCGAATCCACCAGATGCTCTGCCGGGGAAGGAGGGACAATCTCCTCCTGTACCAGTCAGATCTGATTTGACGGTACACGCACACACACAAATAATAAAATAAAATAAAAAAGAAATTCACTATTTTTTAAAAATTAATTTTAATTAAAGTCCACAGAGACCTAGGGTTTCCAGTCTAATTATTTTTTAAATTTATTATTTTTTTTTTTGTGCGTGTACCCTCAAATCGGATCCGACTGGAACAGGTGGAGATTTTTCCTCCTTCTGCAGCAGAGCATCTGGTGGATTCGAACCGCGTACCTCTGGGATTGCTATTTTTTTTTTCTTAAAGCAAACTGACAGCTGTAGCAATGTCCCCCCTCTCTGACTCCTCCTTGGCTGGCCTCACATGGTTCCATCTCCTATTCCCCTTGAATTCATTTCATCTCCCTGTGACCCCACAGGACAGAGCAGAGCTGCCCCATGGGGTCAGTAGGGCTGTGAATCTTTCCAGAAGCAGACGGCCTCAGCTTTCTCCCTCAAAGCTGCTGGTGGGTTCAAACCCCTGACCTTGTGCTGAGCAGCTGAGGGCTTGTTCCCCTGTGCTACTTTAAAGATGACACTTGGCCTCCCTCATTACACACAAAACAAACGCCAACTATGACCCCGGAGTTGAAGGTATCTCATGGCATTTCTCTGTCAAGTATCTCAGAGGTGGGTGTGAGTATCTGTGGAAGGTGTCAGGCCCATCCTTCTCCCACAGGACAGCTGGTGGATTTGAACTGCCTGCCTTTGCCTTGAACGCACAGTTCCTTACCCACTAGACTCCCAGAAGTTCCTGCTACAACAACAGAAAGTCGGTTTGTAGGTTGCCAGGACTTTATAGCACAGCACTTCTGGTTGGCCTCGAACTCCCAACCTTGGTGTTCCAGGGGAAAATACCTTGGAAGCTTTGAAGCCCTCAATGAGGGTCAGCAGCTGGACAGGGCACGAGGGTGAAGTCTGGGCCGGGCCGTTGCAGGGGGTCCCTCGCGGGGGTCCGGCCCCACTCTCTCCATCATCACTGAGGTCCTCGAAGGTGTCCACGGTGGGGATGGAGTCGTGTTTGACGCGGTGGACGGCCTCCGGAGGCGGCGGCCGGTACAGCCGGGCCAGCTCCTTGCAGAAGCGGTTCAGCGGGAAGCCCACGACGTTGAGGAAGTCCCCGCTGACCCGCTCCACCAGCATGCCGCCCAGGGCCTGGATGCCGTAGCCTCCTGCTTTGTCCCTGAGAAGAGAGGGGGAGAAGGGGGCCTGTGGTCAGCAAGTCCCTCTCTATTCCTGCCCAGGAGACATGCAAGCGGAGGGGGGGGCACCCTGTCATGCACTGGACTCTGGAGGACCCCCAAATTCTACCCTGCTCCCCAGAACTGCACACACACACAAACACACACGCACACACACACAGAGATTCTCCTATAAAGCTTGCCTGGGCTGCTTTCTGAGACCCACCAGCTAGCTTTTTCATTGCTAGCTTTCTTGAATTCTGTTCCACATGAATCCCACCCTCTTGGTGGCCATGGTGCATGAACTGCCCGGGCTAGGAATGGAACTCAGGTCTTTGGCACAAAAGGCAAAGACTCTGCCCCTTAGGCCACCCTCACCATCCTTGATGCCAGTGGTACCTATCAGCTCATTAAGGACCGTGGTCTCAAAAAAAAAAAATTAAAAAAAAAAAAAAAGGACCGTGGTCTCAGATCCCAGGGTGTGGATGTCAGCTCTGGGGCCTCTCCCCCCTTCAAGGGGGTCCCCGGGACTCACATGGGCTCTCCGCTGTGAATGTATTCCCAGAGCATCTCTTCTGACAACTCGGAGAACGTCACCCTGGTCTCCTCGTGGAAGTCCAACATCTGTGTCTCCAGCTGGCCACCTGAAATGACCACCACAGCCCAGTGCTGCTGCCGCCCAACCCACCGCCCTCTCTTGTCCCCTGTATGTGTTCTGGGGGCTGAACTCGAACTCTGAGAGGCCCCTGGGGAGCAGTTTATCATCAAGGGGTTGCCAGGCCTTTCTTGCTACTTGCCTCTGGGGAGACTGGAAACAGCCAGCCTTGGGCTGGGCAGCCAATGAGCGTGGCTGCTGTGGGACTCGGACCAGAGGCCCCCCATTCCGAGTCCCGGTGCCCCCCTTGTCGCATCCGAGGCAAATGACACCCCGTGGGGTTTCCCAGAAGTTTGGAGGCAGTCAGCGCTTTTTTCCAATGCAACTCCAGGAGGCAGGATCTAAACTTCCAGCTTTAAGGTTCCTCAGCCCACCACGTTCACTCTCATTGCTCCCAGGGGACCCCCTCCTCGACATCTGGCGGCTGTAAAAAACCCACTACCTTAGGGTCTCGCTCTGTTTGTTTTAATATTCTCACAGGGCCCAAAGCGCAGAGCAACGTGTGTGACCCCAGCTGTGTTTAAAGAACGGTGATGTCACAGAGGAGACGTGGACAAAGACGGTCCAGCCGGTGGGGGCTGATACGTGGCACCCACGTGGCCACTTCTGAGAGGGGGGCATGCTGGCTCCGAGTCTCTGGGGACCACAGGCTGGGCACCGTGTCTCACTCCCTCCTTGTCCAAGATGGTCAGGCCCTGTCCAGCCCTCAACCACCAATTCTGTTGTGGCTTTCCATCTGCAAACTGCAGAGTCTGTCTTCCCACTGGCCCCACGGGGCAGAGAAGCCCTGGCCGCGACTGTTTTTCCTAGCTGTAACACTGACCACCCCCAAAGAACACTGTGCACCAACCAGAAAGGTTGGCGGAACAAATCTACCAGCTGGTCAGGGGGAAAAAGATGGGCAAGCGCCTCCTGTTAAGATCCAGCCTCGGAAACTCGCTGGAGGGGCTGTGTGGGCTGGAATGGATCAGTGACACAGATAGGTAGGTAGGTAGGTAGATAGATAGATAGATAGATAGATAGATAGATAGATAGATAGATAGATAGATAGATAGATAGATAGATAGGATGATAGATAATAGAGATGATAGATAGATAAATAGATGATAGACAGACAGACAGACAGGCAGAGATGGATGAAAGATGGATGGATGGATGGATGGATGGATGATGGATAGAGATAGACAGACAGACAGAGATGGACAGATGGATGGATGGATGGATGATGGATAGAGATAGACAGACAGACAGAGATGGATGGATGGATGGATGGATGGACAGAGTGGATGGATATATAGATAGACAGAGATAGATGAATGGTGGATGGATGGATGGATGGATGGACAGGGTTGATGGATAGATAGATAGAGATGATGGATAGATGGATGGATGGACAGAGTGGATAGATAGATAGACAGACAGACAGACAGACAGAGATGGATGAATGGTGGGTGGATGGATGGATGGATGGATGGATGGATAGACAGAGTGGATGGATGGACAAATAGACAGACAGACAGAAATGGATGATGGATGGATGGATGGATGGATGGATGGATGGATGGAAGGAAGGATGGATGGACAGAGTAGATGGATAGATAGATAGATAGACAGACAGACATGGATGAATGATGGATGGATGGGTGGATGGATGGAAGGATGGATGGACGGACAGACAGAGTGGATGGATAGATAGATATATAGATAGATAGATAGACAGACAGACAGAGATGGATAATGATGGATGGATGGATGGAGTGGATGGATGTATAGATAGATGATAGATAGACTATTGATAGAGACAGATATATAAAGAGATAAAGGGATAAATATAGAGAAAAATATTGAGATAGATAAATAGATATCAATATAAAGATATCAAAATAGATATCGAGATAGATATATATATAGATAGATACAGAGATACAGAGATATAGGGATGATATGGGGTTGTTGTTGTTGTTGTTAAGTGCCATCGAGTCGCAGGTGACTCATAGCGACCCTATGAAGGAAAGTCTTCGACGCTTGGGTGCCTTTCTTCCTCTCTCCAGGTTCACAGGGTTTCTGGAGGCAAGCTATTATGGAAGTGGATGCCACTCCTCCTTCCAAGATATAGGGGTAGACAGATAGATATAGATGGATATATTGATAGATATTGGTAGATATTAATTAGATAGATAGATAGATAGATAGACAGATGATAGAGTTTTTTTTCTTTTTCATTCTTTGCCGGAGACTTGCCAGGCTGTACTTCTGTGGTACCGTTGTGTGGCATGGCCGGTCAGTTACCTGAACTAGAGGAGCAGTGGACGACGGCCACGCCGGTGAAGACGCTGTGCTCCTTCCCGCTCAACCTGTAAAACACACCAGCCCCCCCGACCCACCCACGCCCAGTTAGTACTTTTAGAGAGGGGTGCTATGAACTCAAGGATGCGTCCCCCCAAAAATATGAACCCAGTTACATCATGTGCCCCGTGCTGGGCAGCTAATTAAAAGGTCTGATTGAAGAGTAAACCATTCAAGATGAAATGGACAGCGTCCACCCAGAGAGAGGAAGGTCAGAGGCAAGAAGCTTTGTGAAAGGATGTGTGGAAATAAGAATCACAGGCATGGATGAGGACAAGCGCTGCTGCCCCTGGACAGATTGTGATTCACAATATTTCATTTCACAGATGTGGCAGCTGTTTCAGCCAGCTACGCGGGTCCCCTTTTCCAAACACTGTATGGTCTTTGTCTCAATCATCACTCTTGTTGTTGTTATGTGCCGTCGAGTCGTTTGCGACTCATAGCGACCCTATGTACAACAGCCCTAAACTCCGCTCTGTCCTGTGCCAATAGCACCGTCTCTGACACTCTCATCCCATTTATCCCAGTCACTGAATCAATCCACCTCATAGAGGGTATTCCTCTCCTGCGCTGTCCCTCCACCCTCTCAAGCATGATGTCCCTCTCCAAGGACCGTTCTCTCCTCACAACATGTCCAAAGTATGTTAGACGGAGCCTCAGAATCCTTGCCTCCAAGGAGCCACCCGGTTTAACCCTTTCCAGGACAAATCTGTTTGTTTTCCTAGCAGTCCATGGTCTTCTCAATACTCTTCTCCAGCACCACAGCTCAAAGGCATCAATTCTCCTTCTATCCTCCTTGGTCATTACCGTTTTCTTTTTCCTGCTTTTTTTTTTTAAAGTATTTACCATTGGATTTTCCCTTTGCCTGATGGTGTATATCATCATCACAATATTTTAAACTTTTTTTCCATCACCCTATTACTACACAACGTGCATAAGCTAGATAGGGTAAGGTATTGAGATGGCAACTCAGAGACAGGCGGTTCAAATCCAGAAGAAAGATGGATAATTTAACCTCATGTGATTTGTTGTGCTTGCTGATTGCTGTCAAGTTGAGCACAACTCCTGGTGACCCTATGAACAAAAGATTTGAAGCCCATCTACAACTATCGACATTTATCAAAGTTCATAGGGTTTCTGGAGGAATGAGGTTTATTAGGAAGTGGATGTTGCTTCCAAATTTCAGCTTCCAAAAACCTGCTGGAGGTTCAGCGAGGAGTCAATTCTAATTCAAAGCTAATGACTTTGTTGATATTTATTACTATTGATTTTGCATGGACTACAGGATGGGGTCTCTGGCGGGTTTGAACCACTGACCCTTTGGTGACCAGCCTAAGTACCATGATAATAGGGCTTTTTCTAAATACCCACAGGCCGTTAAATTGGTAGCAAACCTTTGATACCATCAGTCAAGAAAGTAAAATATTTCATTGGGTAAGTCGGCTGTCAAGGATCTTTCTAAGGTGTTACAGAGTAGGGATGTCACTTTAAAGACTAAGGTGTATCTGATTCAAGCCAAAGTCTTTTCATGGAAGAAACTTTTTAATTGTTGCCAAAAAAAAATAAATGTATCTTTATGAAGTAGAAATTGGTATCAATGACCTTTGTAAGAATATGTTCTAGAAACTGGAGGTAACTGGTTAATAGAATGGTCCCAGATGCTTTGGCTGAGGCCAGTACATAGTGAGGACAAAGTCTTGTCTGTGGAGAATTTGGGGTGATTCCTGGAGAAATATTACATCGTGCATAAGAAAAAGAAATTTAATTGTTTTCACAATGGTTGTAAAGTTACTGCACTAAAAGTTGGGGTTTTTTTCTATATTTTCCTACAATTTCACGGCAAGAGTGGCATAGAATACCTAAACACAGAAGAGAGCCTTCATGCAAGATATCAATTCCTCGATATAGTAACGCATACAGTTTGATCCCGGGTTTCAGCACCAAAACAAAACAAAATAATGCATACAGTTAAAAATGATTACACTATGATTACATCTAGGCCTTTCTGCAACTTCTAGGTGGTGTCAAGGTCTTTACAATTAGTCGTGATGCATCTGAGAGCTGGACAATGGCTAAGGACGCTAGAAAAATCAATGCCTTTGAGCTGAGGTGTTGGAGAAGAAGACTGAGTATCTTAGGGTCTGAGAAAAGAACACACACAAGTCTGTCTTGGCAGAAAGTTAACCAGGGTGCTGCCTGGAGCCCAGGAGGGGGAGACCTGGTCTCCCACACTGCTGGCCTGTGGTCAGAAGGGGCCAGTCCTTGGAGAAGGACATCCTGGTGGAGAAGGAGGATGGGTCAGAGACAGAAAGGAAAGATGGCCTTCCTTTGTCCCCCTCAAGGAGTGGTTCAAGGACCTTTAAGTTGTCTCCACAACCCATCACACAACACTGCCACGGAACACTTTTCAGAATAACGGACATGCTTATAAAATGACCAGGATGATGGACCATGCAACACTTCAAAAACGGCAGCGTTGACCCAGGGAGAAAGCGTGAAAACAAAGGAAGAGGGGGATGGGTGGGCGGGTGAGGATGGGAGTGGAAAAGGACAAGGGGATATGAGAATCACAGAGAAGGAGGTGGAAGCGTGCTGCTACTTTGGGAGTATTAGCATTAACGTCACAAAACAAAAATGTGTAAGGGAGCTCTGGTGGCCTAGTGGCAAAAAAGTTGCACTGCAATCCCGGAGGCACGCAGTTGAAATCCACCAGATGCTCTACTGGAAAAGGAGGGATAATCTCCTCCTGTACGAGTCAGATCTGATTTGATGGTACACGCACGCAAAATAATAAAATAAATTAAAAAAAAACACCAAAAATGTGTAAGAATGGTTAAACAGGAGAGTGATGGATTTGGTCAGCTTTGATGCAGGGGACAATGAAAGGTGCAAGACAGGAAGAAAACTCTGTAAATGTTGATTAAAATTAATAAAATAAAATTTTTTAATAAAGAAAAGAAAAAGGAAGAAAGAAAAGACCGGACCAGAGGAGAACAGATAAAGTGGACAGACAAGACCCACCTGGAGAGCATGCGATAGGCATCCTGTTTGTCCACAGGTTTCTCCAGGATCAGGCCCCCCACTGTCTGCAGGAGAGAGAGGGAAAAGGGGGCTCGCTCAGGGTCCCTTCTGCTCTTTACCCAAGTCTGTATGACTCCGGTCACAGCTGGGAGGTGACATTGTAGGAGGCTCTCTACTCAGTCCCTCCCTATGACTCTCCTTTTCACGCGTCCTTCCCCCCTCCACACACACACACATTCCTGACTCCCACACATTCCTCTTGGTGCGCACGGCCCCCTTTGGATCTCACATGGTTGACCGTCCACCTCAAGGCCAAGCCAAGGGGGATGCATACACTCGAGATGGTATGTGTGAATGGACAAATCCATGACCACTGAATCTGTGGCAATGAGACCAGAAGAACTCAAGGGGTTCCAGCTGATGGACAGAAGAGACCACAGCCTCCACGGTCCTGCTGGTGCCCCAGCTACCCCCCTGCCCCCAATGGGGCTCTTGGAAATGGGATCACAACAGAAGGTGCAGGGGAGAGTGAGGGAAAAAAAGAGGTGGAAAGAAAATAATTTTAAAAACTCAGTCTCATATACCGTCCATGAGGTGGACTGACACAGTGACTGAGGCCATGAGGGTCAGTCAGAGAGGGTGAGGACGGGGCAGCAGATCTGCTGTCCACCGGCTTCCTATTAGGCATCATGGACTCAACAGCGGCTAGCAACTACAAAACGGACTGACCAGTAAGGCCAGGGAGGTGTTCTCCTCAAAACTGTCAACCAGACATGAAAAAAAAAACCCAAAAGAAAAAAAAAGGCAGCCTTTGTCCGAAAACAGAGCCATGCAGGCAGGAAGGTCCAGAGAACGAGGGCTACAGAGGAGGACGTCCACGGGTGATGGCCAGCCTCTCACTGGCTGGGTCAGTGGACAGGACAGCTCTCTGAATGCACCCCTCAGCACGGAGGACACACTTCAGTGCCCATTCTTCTCCCCAAGGGCAGACCGGCCACCTCCCAGCATCCACTGTGGACAGGACAGCTGTCCCTTAGCACGGAGGACACCCCTGAGTGCCCACCCACCTCCCCAGAGTCAGGTCTAGCCCCCTCCCAGCACCCACTGTGGACAGAGGCTCAGGGGGAGGAGGGCAGCGGAGGACGCGTCCAACATGCAGAGAGCAGCAGGGACTCACCACAATGGTGTCGGCTCCAATGACCACATCAGGCGTCCGCAGGTCCTGCAAGAGAATCAGCCTGGAGTGAACAAGGACGGGTGATGTCTCCAGCAACCGAAACAGAATGTGCTGTTCCCTCAGTAGAGTGACCTGTGTCCGTGCTAAAAGCATTCATTATATTGCATTAAATTCAGAACCCGATGACCGTGGAGTGGGCACTAAATCCCAGCTCATTTCCACTGGGCTTTCAGAGGCTGTGATTGCAAGGCAGGAGAAAGTCCATCCTTACCGTGCACGTGATATCAATTATATATTCTTTTTTTTTAAAATATTTTGGGTGCATGTACCATCAAATCGGATCTGACTGGTACAGGAGGAGGAGATTGTCCCTCCTTTTCCAGCAGAGCATCTGGTGGATTTGAACTGCGCGCCTCTGTGATTGCAGTGCAGCTTCTTGCCACTAGGCCACCAGAGCCCCCTTCAATTATATATTCTTATAATGTTGTCATGTGCCATCTTGTCAGAAGAGACTCACACCTGACCCTCCCGCAGCTTGTCAGAGGCTGTAAATCACACAGTAGCCAGCAGGGCTACTTTGAGCCTAGATACAGAGTATCGATATAGTAGTATCTGCATGTATGTGTGCATATACAGCTGTGCAGGCAGATGTATCCATAAGAGACTGTTATATGTTATATATATATGTATTTATATTATATTATACTATACTATATTATTATTATATTACATTACGTTATATTATATATTCATTATATTACATACTCATTATATTATATATTCATTATATTGTATTATGCATCGGGATGGGAGTGTCAGAGACAGTGTGATTGGCATAGGACAGAGCAGAGTTTAGGGCTGTTGTACATAGGGTAGCTATGAGTCGCAAGCAACTCGACGGCACATAACAATAACAATAACAATAACATACTACACCCATCCCGATTACCCCAGTCACTGAATATTATATTATATTACA